ATTTAACATCTAAATGTGTGTATAAAGACATCAAATCTAAAAAAAAGCCTAAATACTAACATTGATGCCTAGTAAAATTATTTTCGCAATGACAAAATTGACGAAACCACATATTTCGTCAGGATATATAATTTAGGTATAGGAATTTAAATAAAACTTTATTATCCGATAGCTTACTATAATAGTGCTGCCAAAATAACTCGAATTATTTTGGCAGTGATACGTCATCTGCAAAATAACTTCGTTACTTGGCAGTTTATGTAATCACTACCAAAACTCGAGTCATTTAGAAGCAAACTGTTATTGTATTCTACGCTAGCCAATAACTCCAAATGAATTATTTTACAAATAATTCTCGTTATTGTCTGCTACGCATTCAATAACTATATATTATACAAGAGTACTTTATATAATTTCCTATTTTAATCAATATTGAAATAACAGATACAAATTTTATTAGAGCTTATCTGTACAGTTCAGGTTTAGTATTACAATATACAATAAAACCTTCATAAATGCACACTCAAATTCCAGACTAAATATATATAAATAGAGGCTTTACTGTATTCACCATTAAAATATTTTGGTTATGTTATTGCATTAATAAAATCTTAAAAATTTAGTTAACTTGTAATTTTAATTAACCACATGTCATATTTTAAATTTTTAAAAAATTTTTACGAGAATATTCTGTCTATACAAGTCAAAATTTAAAGGGCTTAATTTAATCCCACAATTGCTAAGTATAAACTATAAATATAAAAATTTATTAAATTATAATTTTTACTATAGAAATATGTATGTTTATATTTTATTAGTAATTTTTAACTCTGCTGATTTTTGAAAATAGCTAAATGCCTTATCTTCATCTATTTCAACGCCAATTCCATAAAGATAACAATAACCTAATTGAGATATTCCATTAATATTTCCCATATCGGCAGATTTTTGATAATAAGTAAATGCCTTTTGCTTATCTTTTTCAACACCAATTCCATTTTGATAACAATATCCAAGATTATATATCCCGCTAGTATTACCCATATCAGCGGATTTTTGATAATTAATGAATGCTTTATATTCATCTCTTCCAACTCCAATTCCTTTTTGATAACAGTAGCCAATTTGATTTATCCCAACTGCATACTCTAGTTTAGCAGATTTTTGATAGTAAGTAAATGCCTTATATTCATCCTTTTCAACACCAATTCCATTTTGATAGCAATAACCAAGATAATATAATCCACTAAAATTACACATATCAGCAGATTTTTGAAAATTTATAAATGCTTTATGTTCATCTTTTTTGATTCCAGTTCCATTTTTATAACAAATGCCAACCCAAGACATTCCTTCAGCATCACCCATCATAGCAGATTTTTGATAATAAATAAATGCTTTAGGTAAATCTTTTTCGACACCAATTCCATTTTGATAATAATAGCCAAGGCTATATGTTCCATCAGCATGCCCAGTATCGGCGGATTTTTTACAATAAATAAATGCTTTATGTCTATCTTTTTTAACCCCAATACCTTTTTCATAACAATGAGCAAGTGAAATAATTCCATTAGAATTCCCCATATCAGCAGATTTTTGATAATAATCGAATGCCTTACGTTCATCTTTTTCGATACCAATTCCATTTTGATAACAATAACCAATATTATATATACCAAGGGCATGCCCTAATTCAACAGATTTTTTATAATAAGTAAATGCTTTATGTTCATCTTTTTTTATCCCAATTCCATCTCTATAACAATCACCAAGACTATTTATTCCAAAAGGGTTTTCCATATCAGCAGATTTTTGATAATAAGAGAAAGCTTTTTGTTTATCTATTTCAACACCAATTTCAAGTAAATAACAACTTCCAATATTATGTGTTCCAGTTGAACTTCCCATATCAGCAGACTTTTGATAATAAGTAAATGCTTTTTGTTTATCTTTTTTAACCCATTTTCCAAGTAGATAACAATGACCAAGAATGTTTTGTATAATATGATTTGGTTCATTATTTAAGCACCAATTTATTAAATACTCTGGTTTTAGTTGGTTATTTATAAGAATCTGTTCTATTAGGTTAAGAAATGATATAGCATTATTTCCTTTTATTTCTTCTTCTTCGTGTAACTTACATATTTCTTTAATAATTTGATTTATAAAATTTTGTGACGGGTTAATATCATCTAAAGATAAATGTGATATCTGTAAAGTATTGGTAAGATCATTAGAAACTTGGGTAAAAAATAAGTTTAAACCCATTTCACACTCTGAAGATAGGTTATTATGAATGCTTTGTAATTCTTCTTCATCAGACATTTTAAAATAAAATTTTTGAGAATTTAAATTAGAATGCATTTTTAAAAATCGTGAAACTTAAATATTTTAATTGTTGGTTGTACTACATTATTCAATAATGAATAAGCATTCGAACACAATAGATGATTAACTGCCAATTATGGTAGAAATTTTTTACAAATACTATTTAGATTAACGTTTGAACAACGCACACAAAGTATATACGTAGTTAATAAAAATTAAGAATACAGTAAATGAATATTTCTCAAATAGACTAGTAATTTTTGAACTCGTGACTATGTATATGATATTACAGTATTACAGTTGGAAGCTGCTTATCATAGAGCGTAATTAATAATAAATGCCAGCAGCAGAACACACAAATATGTAATTGCGGATTCTGCTTATGTATGTATGTATGTAAGTACGTACGTACGTACATGATCTAGAATCCAAAATTTTTTTGTCACCCGAATATAGAAACAATAATCAAATATCAACATAGTGTAAATGTTGTGCCACTTACCTGGAACTGACACTAATTTCAGGGACTTAATTTTAATCAGGCGTATCTTCAAACGCCTGGGTGCAACTCAAGGTATATATATACATACGTACGTGGCAGTTCAAGCATTGCATAAATACCGTTAGAATCAAAAAAAAAAAAAAGAAACGATTATTTAAAAAGATATTAATTTAAATAGAAAATTATATGGAACGCCGACGGCGTCTCGCAACTATTGTGTTTCGAAAAATTATTACTAATCATCTATGTATTGGATTATAATCCAACAATTGTTATTATAAATTATTTAATACATTTGACTAGTAAATTTGTTGCGCATATATTGCACAGGTATATCGATATTCGATTGACACTGTAAAGTGTCGTTATAATAAGCGTAAATTTTTTTGATTTATATTAGCTAAGTAGAATAATTGTTGTAGAGTCATAAAACGAACTCTTTCTTCAGAATTATCAGTTCGTTATAAAGTTGTGTGTAAATCAAAAGAAATGATTCAAGTGTTAATTAATATACAGTATCTGCATCAAATGTATGTAAAATTAAAAAAAATTTAAATTATAATTTTGCTAATTAATTTATATAATATATTTTTATTTTATAATAATGGGAAATTATAGGCATCTCTCATGGAAGATGTATCTCCCAAAATCCCTTAAAATTTATTTATGTTGGGGTATTGTTTTTATTAGGACTAGAGATAAATAGAATATGTAGTAAATTTTCCTGAGAAATACTTTTGTTTAAAATATGAAAAGAGGTTTCTTATGCGCTTTTTTGTAAAATACCCATTTTTTTCGAACGGTGTGAAAGGGTGAATTATGGCTCCAAATAATTTTTGGCGTAGCACCACCTGAAATTGGGCTAATTTTCTATTTCTATTTTTATCTTTTATTCCTATTTTTGGTTGGGATCTCCTTTTGTAGTTAGAAGTGAGTAAAGTGAGCGAAGTAAAAGAAGTAAGAGAAGTAAGCGAAGTATGCAAAGTAAGCAAAGTAAGAGAGTGAATTCACTCACCTTTTAGTCTGTAAATTTTAGTATATAAGAGCCTTGAGCTCGCCTTCAATAAAGGCAGATCACTTTAGAGTTCATAACTCAGCCCCCCCGATAAGTGAATTGTATAATTTCGTGATCCTGAATAAGAGCTTCTTGACTTAGTCTATAGCTCTATTTGGTCCTAATAATCGGACCAAGTCTTTCCACGCCCTCTTTCGTGCCTTCCACCATTAGGGTTTAGGTAGAGTTTGGTTGTTAGAGTGTTGATTTAGATTAGTTTAGCATTAGTTGATATCCGTGAGGCCTATATTTGGAGAGACCGGGTCGATTCTGCCCCTCACAACGGACGTAGCTTTCCTGATCGTGTTATGTTACACTAAATTGCGGCTATTGGCTAACAAATGTGAGATATGTCTCTCGCGGAAGATGCACGTAATCCTACAAATATGACTATTGAATTTATCCTGAAATTTTCCATTTGAAATATAATATGCAATAAATAATAACAATGTGAATTTAGAAAGACAATTCCATAGTTAAAACGAATTTAAAATATTTAATACAATCTATTGAACAATAGTACAAAAAAATTAGACCATACTGTCTCGAATATTAATTTGTGTTACAAAAATAATCTGATTAGTTTCATCATTTTCTAAAAAAAAAATCATCCATATTATTGATTATACTGGGTAGAAGGAAATTCTTCAAAATGGGAAATTTAAAATTGAAAAGACTCTAAACTTAAGAGAAATTAAAATTATGCTCTGCTTTAATACATCCTTTTATGGTTTGAGGTCCTTTGCAATTTCTACATCTCATTTTACAACCATTTTTATCTAACGTTTGATTACAGTTTTTGCACATAGTACAACAAGGCTGTTCTCCAGCTTTATGCTTACATACATCATATATATATTGACATCCTTCACTCGTGTAAGATCCGTTGCAACAACGGTATCGTTTTTCACATCCTTTATTGTAAAGACCTCCACCGCAACACTTATACTTATTACGACAACCATCATTATCATTATTGCAACAAGAATAAACGCCCAAACATCCAGGCGAGCTCTGTTTTTTTCCACAGCATTTCCAGTATCCGGGAATCATAGGGTTAATAATCCCAAATGTAATGGCACGAATAAAACATTGGGCAGGATTGAGATCGATTTGACTATCAATAGGCACACCAGTATGCACAAACATATATGAGCCAGGATGATAAGTTTTTAAGGAACCAGGATGATATTCTTCAAGATTGTTCGAATGCGCATGTATAGTTTTATATAAATGAATGTTAATTGTCTCTGGATGAAATGATTCTGCTTCTAAATGGCATTCTGGAATCGCTAATCTTGGATCAGTTTCTTCAGGACAATTCAAACATTTGACTTTTCTGTAATTGATCTTTATCGGGTTCGCAGGATGTTCTTTCATTAGTGCATTGTATTTTGCAAGAATTTGATCAGGCTCAGATCTTTTAAAAATGTTGTACTTAATTAATTGTTTGCTTGTAAATTCATTCTCAACATAAACACTTGTACTCTCAAGGCTTTCAAATAACAGGATCGCAAAATCAGGAGTATTTACGAGCAAATCATTTTTATCTGGCAATTTATTACATCTTTTTTTTTTCATATCATATTGATTCTTGGCTATTTCTTTAGCTGCTTCTCGAGGGCCACTTGCAATTTTATCTCCTTTAGTAACGATAATAGTGTTGTCCCAAACATTACCATCATGATCTCTTGCTAATGATTCTATAAACTTCGCCTCTCTTTTAAACGAAGCTGTTGCTTTGATGCCAGTCGATACGAACCATAAGATCGTCGTTATATTATGTACCTCTTTATCCAAAAGAGTACGAAAAATCAAACGCGCAGTATCATAATCGCTCTTAGTTTCATCAGAATCATCAAAACCTGGAGTATCGACGTAAAAGTTGCTATCACCGATATCATAAACTGTAACTTTGGTTGTTTGGGAGCTTGACGAATTTCCGACCTTCGCATCTTGCGCACCAAAAATAGTTCCTGTAAAGCTTTTTCCGTTGCCAGTCTTTCCAATTGCGATTATGCATTGTTGCTAATATATTAGTGCAGATGATGAAATTATATTGTTATTCAAATAAAATGATAAATTCACAGTTCACATATTCCTATACTTACACGACCTTCTAACATAGATGATTTTAACTTCATTAATAAAAAAAAAAAGAAAAATTTGGAGGCAACAAAAAAAATTTTTTTTTATAGCGTTAATACAATTCAAGTAACTAATTCGTTATATATGTAATTTTAAATTCGTTTTACGTATATTAAATGTCAATATTTGAATATATTTCTCCATAAGGGATCATCTAAAGCCAGGCATATAGCAATTTATATACATCACGTAATTTTTAATTTACAGATTTACTAGTAATCAATTTAAAAAACTACCTGGCTTTAGACGACCTTCTACATGAATTGTTCTGTAATTGATAAATTAAACGATTTGAATACTCTTCTTAGTCTAATTCATGAATCACTAATCCAGTAAATACTAAAGTTATACTTCGTATAGATGCCGAAAATATCACTCCTGCGATTTCGTGTGACTTGCTTGAGATGAAATTTTATCAGTCAAAAAGTTTTTTAAATAATGATAATTAATTAGACTACCTTTTTTTATCTAAGTAAAATATAATGATCGAATCAGATAAAATGTTTAATAATTGAGATATTAAAAAAAACATACTTTTCACTATAAATTTTAGGATTTAAAATGAATTCTTATCACATGATTCACGTGTTATATGTGAAGTGGATCCTAAGTTAATCTCGTATATCGTACGCACGTACAGTACATACTTGTCTTGTCTTAGATGATTTCTCTTAAATTGTAACGGTTCAGTTACACTTTAAATTAAAATGTAAGCTTTGAATATATGTTTGGTTGTTAACAGGGGTTTACTAATTTTTCACAACAGTTCCTATTTGAAATTTATTCGGACCCCTAGTACTATGTTAACGCAAATGACATATTTAGTTTAGATCTATAAAGTTTTTTTTTTAATATATATGGTATATAGGTAGTATTAAGCCCTTCTATTTAATCGCGGTGTTGCATATAATCGTAAGGTTAATACAATGAAAAACGTCACGTATACCAAAAAAAAGGGAAAAGCGTATAGTATACATATATGTATAAAAAAATTCTTTTAAAAGAAGCGTATAGTATACATATATGTATAAAAAATTTTTGAGTCGGTTATACTAGTTTGTATACTATATATATTTTTTATATCGACACCGATATGATATTAGTATTCCCCGGTTGTGAAACACGGTATAAAATATTTATAATACAGTATATATAAAATATTAAATATTCAAAGATCGTTTATTGAATAAAATCTTCCATACATTTACAGTACCATTTATGGCATCTTCGCGTCGTTTGTCATTCATTAATTTGCATGCAATATATGAATAATTTAATCGGGTTAGGGTAATCGCTTACACACAATCGATAAAAAAAATTAATTGATTTAACTATGATGCAATCGAAATAATTAATTAATAAAGCGTTGTAATAACAAATCAGTATGTATTATTTTGTTATAGAGTGAGAATTATTAAATATATAGATTCTATTCAATCGATATACAGCACAAGAAAAAAAAATCGATGATCATTCATCCAGCCTTTAAACAGGCTTTTACCCCAAACATTTGATGTATAACATCATCGCTATATCTAAACAAGTTATGAATTAATAATTTTTTATTTTATTTTCTTATAAATGAATAAATAATTGTATAATTTAACATTAAGCATACCTGATATTATTTTTCAAGACCATATTCGCGCTCTTTAATAGAATTAGCAATTTGTAACTCCCTTAATTTTTCTTTATGTTCTGCAATCATCAACATGCGTTCCTCATATTCTAATTTTTCCATCATCGTCATATTGGACTCTTTGGGTTCATTATTACTTAAATATAGAGATGGGATCCGTCTATCCGTTCAGATAAACCGGAGTTTATCTGTATCTGTCCATCTGTCTTTAACTAACTCC